GCCCACTGAATTGATTGCAGGCCAAACCTGAGATTATAAACATCTGAATTAAGAGTGGCGTTAGTCCGGCACATTGGCTTGCAACACTCCTAAAGGAGTTTAGGCAGTTTTCTCCGTACCATCATGTATTTGTTCCAAGTTCTCTACCTCTAAAACCCGGAAAGGCTCGTATCTTTTTACTACAACAGCGAGTCCTGAAGAGTGTTAGTCTGGGTTAAAGGTCAGACTGGAGATACTACCTTCCTGCCCTTGTCGTTGTCGGGAAGGAAGCAGAATCGCGGGAATCCTCTGCAGGTGTACAGCTGTCCAGGGTTGGGATGCTCCGGACCCTGATGGATGTCAGAAAGTTTAATCCGATAAGGTCACACCGGATCCGTTCAGATCAAAGAAGGAAGAATCTGATCTAAAGAGAACTTTGTTTTTGGTTGAAGGTGTTGTAACATTTCACCGTTCATCACACACTTTCAACATCAAACCAAAACAAACTCAGGTCACCTTCACGCCTGGAAACATCTGGATTCATTTGTTTCAACGGCATCGGGGTAGCTGGGCCGTACCTGAACGCCAGGAGGGACGCTGTAGATGATCTGGATGGTACCACAGTCTGGGTGACCCGGCAGCGACTGGGCGATACTATAGATCTCCATCTTGCCTTTGGGCTGCGTGCCCGTCTTCTCTCCATAGATTGTCTTACAGGAGGGACACTGCAAGCTGCCGTCCTGCAGAGAAGGGAGACGACGGGTAAGACGCACCCCTCTCAGATCTACTTTAGTAGATTTGAAGTGTGACCATTTTAATGAGAACTCTAACAGAAAATGCTGAAAAACAACAGTTTCTCTGCAGAGGATGAAGCTAGCCTCGTCTGTTTTGGTTCGACTTTCTGCCAGAATGGATGCGACTCGCGAACAAATTAGAACGCACGCCAAAACCATCGCTGCACGGCGCGAGCCTCCGTGGCGCTTTGCAGCTGATGTGACCCAGAGCGTAAGTTAACAAGAAGCGCTCGGCGTTCCACAGCACTTCGCGGCGCATCATGGTGTGTTCCGGGCGTAACGTCTCAATCATGGTGGAAGGAAGGCCATACTGCACCATCCTCGTCTCTGGGAGGTTTTCAGTTTTTCTCCTTCCAAAAACACAAGAGCGACGTAGTTTCTGCGCCTGTGAGGCTAACGCTGCAGTGTCTTTAATGTCTTTAATGCTGGCTTTTGGGTACAGGCAGGAGCATGAGCTCATACAGGGTATCTGCAGGTTTAAGGGAGCCAAATTTAAGACCTTTTTTAAGGCCACTTTGACCAAATTTAAGCTATTTTTAAAATTTCATTTAAGCTATAATTTCCAGCTATTGCCTGGAACCGGTGCTAACCACGTCGCAAACGTGGGATTAGCCACCCAGTTACCATTAAAACTGCACTTCCCCATGGCGCAAGCTCCCACTAGCTTAACCAGCTAATGTGCTCATCTAAAAATGGCCCCCTTTCACAACCAGCTGAACGTGTACGGTTCTGCATACGCCAACATCGTACACTAAAAATGCTGAACACAAACTAGAAATTCACGAAAATTTTATGGAAATAAAAGAATCTTGTTTATTGGGTCTTTGGTAATTTAAGACCTTTGGAAACTGGATTTAAGGATTATTTGTAATTTTTAAGGATTTTCAAGGCCTTAAATTTGGAAAAGCAAATTTAAGACTTTTTAAGGACCCGCAGATACCCTGTCATAACCCCAACCCCCCAAAACACCTGAAACTTACACTAAAACGTTAGAATAGCATACCGATTACCATCATTTATACACCATTATGTTTCCAAATCCCCATTCTTGCCTTATAAACAAAAATAACGTTTAATATTTTATGCATTTTTATTTCTTTGACTTGATATTTAATCACATTTGATTCAAACACAAACGGCGTTAAGAGTCAAACTTTAACATCGTTTTGCTCCTGGAGCTAACGTGCATGCCTGGAAATACCCCGTGCTATTTTTAGAACCTTTGGATCGAAGGATTTCTGTCATTTTAAAGGCCTTAACTAAAGAAAATCTAAACGAGGACTTCTTTAAACATTCTATATCAAAACAGAACCGAATCCTTTGTCTTAATTTGGACACTTGAACAAGAACTGTATGAACAACGATTCTGTTTGCAGGCTTCTTCCTGATTTAGGCTTTAAGAAAGCCCAAACGTCCCCCGTACCTTGGTCCCGTTGTTGTACATGGCCAGCATGCAGAGCATGTGCAGAGTGTGTCCACATGTGATGAACTTTCCCACGGTGTCCGGCAGGACGCTCTGAACTCCGTCCTCTGAGGACGGCGGCGTCTCGTAGCTGGACGGGCTGGACAGCTGGTCCATGCAGATGATGCAGTCCTGGAAGAGACGAGTCTCCGAGTGTTAAAGCTTCACACAACATTTCCCATCATGCCTTGAGCCGTGTCTTAAAGGGATATTACAGCCATCTTGAAATGCATTTATGTGTAAAAGTTCTAAAACAGCCTCTGTTCAGAGAAATGGTGTTTTTGTGTTGCTGTCCTGAGAGCTTTTGTCTTTTTCAATTTCCCTCTACTTCAAATAAAACCAACAAATAGAAATAAACTCCCTTCAGAAGGTCTAAATATACCTTTAAATACATTTGGGACTTGTTTACTTTAATGCAACAACACTTACCTCCTCGGGAACCTCAGCCACCACCTCCATGTAGCGCCGGATCACGTCCTCAGAGCTCCGAGTCAGCACTGGCGGAGAGAGAAGTCGAGAATGTGCTGAAACTAAAAATCAGACGGGATGGAATGAAACTATTTTTCTCCTGGAGAGACGAACAACTCCAGCACTTCTACTCATCAGGTGAGTTACTGTAGGAGGGTGCCGTCAGAAAGAACGTTAAGAGTCAAGGGTTGATGGAAGTTAATGGAACCAGGACACATGAAATGCTGATGGACGGCGAAACGGGACCCAACATGAACTAAAGGGAGTCTCCGTGTTTCTGATGGTGAGGGAGCTCGTTTAGTTTGTTGGGAAAGAAAAACTGGCAAACGAAGGTTTTTCTTCCCACAGCCACCGAGTGCTTTCAGCTCCAATATCTGTTGGTTATTAACGATAAAATGTTGCAATAAATCACATAAATAACTGTGAAAACAGACAGTTTGTGGCGCGCAGCGTCTTGTAAATATCCACGCATCACTTTCAACATTTCTTCTTTATAATCTGAAGCCAGAAGTTGCAAAATCCAATCAAGTCCATCAAATAAAGCAAACCTAGTGATGCTCACACGTCCTAAAATCAACCTAATGAGACATTTTTAGGGATTTATTAAACTGAGGCTCCAGAATTTCACAGAATATTCCTAATCTTATTAAATGTAGTATATTTGAGGACAAATAAAGTTCTGACGGCTGAAGCTGCTCCTGTCTTCGTCTTTTTGTCCTTTTCATTAGCTTCTCTGAGGTTTCTGCAGACCTGAGGTCTGGAACACAAACTCAAACTCGTCGTTATCATAACCGTCCTGCTGGCTCAAAGGTTTGACCTTTTCTCTCCTCCAAAGCTGAACCCCCGCTGAAAATCCACAGGTGAGACATTTTTATCACCTGTGTCGCGTTATCCTCGTTGTCGAGGCACGCAAAACAAACGGCAAGGTGGATTAGAGTGAGGACGCATGGAAACGAGTCGTGATGGAGGATGAGATGTTCCTCAAGCCTGTGGAGATGAGTGGACGGGTGGAGGAGGATGGAGGTGAAGTGGATTATGGGTATTTTTGGGTGAGGTAGCTACCTCTCCTGTGCTGCCTCTTTGCTCTCCTAACTGAACTGCTGCTGTGGGGCTTGTTGGGTCTGCTGGCTGAGGGGAGGAGAGGAGGAGGAGGAGGAAGAGCGAAGGGAGCAGGCGGCGGCGGCTGATGCTGCTGCTGAGGGAGGGGGGCGGAGGTGAAGTGCACGCCGAGTCCCACTGCTGACATCAAAATGGAGGCCATGCCTGGAGCGGGGTGAGGCGGGTGAGGGTGGAGAGCAAGTGGAGGGATGCAGGAAGAGAAAGGAACAAATCAAAAGAATGAGAAACGTAGCAGCGGCCGACGCCTCCGCTGCAACTCAGGCGCGCGTGCGTGAGTGTGTGTGTGTGTGTGTGTGTGTGTGCGTGTGTGCGTGTGTGCGTGTGTGCGTGTGTGTGTGTGTGTGTGTGTGTGTGTGTGTGTGTGTGTGTGTGTGTGTGTGTGTGTGTGTGTGTGTGTCAGAGCAAAAACCAGAACTTGGAGCTGTGACTACCCACAATCCTTCACTCTGAATGAGGTCAGAGATGCACAAACGTAAACAGAATGTTTTCTGTCTCCGCCGGCTTCAGTTTGAAAACTCGCTCACAAATGGAGCACGGCGACGGCGGCGGCGTTTAAGGAAGTCGTGTTTTCATCACAAGTTTATCCAAACCAAACGGTGAAGTTTGGCTCTGGTTACCGTTAACGTTCATTACCGCCTAATGAGGATTAAATCTGCGGCGCCGCACCGCTGACCTTCCATTTGAAATGATTTACTCGTGTCCCGCTTTGGAGCGTTCCACTAATGAGGTTCCGGTCCTCCGAGCTGATTGGAATTACTCCGTCTGTTCGGAACGCGCCGGCTAAATTAAAAGGCGAGCAGCAGGAATTAAAAAGGCAGAGAAAAGAATAGAAATCAGCAGCTTTGATGAATATTTTACCTGCAAACGTTCGGCGAAGCATCCAAACCTGACCTCAGCGGGACAAAAAGGCGTGGCTGGAAGGTGGCGTCAGAATAAAAACTCTTCCAGACGGACCAGACTGGACCCACCCGAACGCTGTCACGTTAACAGGATTTGTCCGGTTAGGCGTAAAAAATTAAAAAGCTTACGAAAAAATCTAAATCCAGCTTTTATCCGACTCGTTTTTAAACGTGATGAAATGATTCTGCTGACCCGAGCAGCATGAACGTACAAAACATTATAAACAGTTTCTGCCCAAAGTTTATAAATAACCTTCTGGAAGGGCCTCTGTTTGGATGAATAGCATCTATATGCCACAGGACTGAGTCAACAGCTAGCCCGACCCAGGCAGGAGCTACTAATTCAGACTAGCCGTTAGCTCATCAGTCCCGAAGATGTGAACTTCATTTCTCTTAACAGAGGCTGCTCAGAAAGTCGTCTAGAAACTGCAGCCTAACAGTTTAATTCTCACCAGCTTTCCTAATAAATATCGATAGTGAGCCTTAAAAGATCCACAAAGTGTTAAAAAACAGCTTCATGACTTTCCTTTGACTTGAACTTCTGTTCCAGTAAAAAAGGACAGGCTCACAAAGCGAAGCAGATCAAAGCTTTTAAACTATTTCTGCTAAAGTTTGAGCCGTTTTAGCTCCTCGAGGAGCAAAGATGACGAGAGGCAATCAGACAAAACCAATAATATCCGAAACGTTTCCTGACTGCTGTCACTTACTGTGTCAGATACTGAATGATTATATTGCTCAAGCTTTGATTGTAAAATTTAAATAAAACATCAAATGACAGGCTAAAGCTTGGTTTATGCTTGACGCATTCACTTTCCGCTTGGTGATGCGGCTCGCGGATGGAACGCGCTTCACAACTCGCAGCGTTTATGGTTCGTGCGGCTCGTCTCTGCGGTGAGCCAATATTCTCCCAAACTGTAGGGGGCAGCATGGAGCTCTACAGCATGCATCCAACACTACACCATAGTAGAAGTAGAAATTACTGTTGTTTACAACATGGCATTCCAGCATTTTTTAACAGCGTCCTCGTCTTTTCCGACAGTGCGAGCTATTTCTCTCCAAGAATTATTAACAACATGTTGATCACGGTGATCTCTGAGAGCTGAATCATACACATGTCTGTATTTACGAACCTCTGCCATACTAGTTCTTGCCAGTCCGCCATGTTTTTCCGTGTCCGACCATCAGCATGGTTAGAAATTTTCCTAGGTGCGCGGTGCGGAAAGTTTGGGCCGTGCGGAGGCGCGGTGGAGGGGCGTGGTTGTTAAAATGACGCAACTTTTCCGCGCGGAGCCGTGCGGATCTCGCGGACACGTCAAGCATAAACCAACCTTAAAGCTACAAGGGTCCGCTTTAGTAAGGCAGAAGAGCCACAAGCGGCTCCAGAAGCGCAGATTGCAGACCCCTGACACAGAAACACACCTCGAAGTGGCTTAAAGAGCAAGTCACCCACAAATCAACTTTTTTTGCTGATAAACTAAATAAATGAGTGTCTAATCGTGCTGCAGACACGTGTGGTCAACAATTAGGCACTTCAGTGCCTCTTAGTTAAAATTAAAATTTTCTGCCTAAAACTGTCAGCGTTGTGCCGTTGTCAGGTAAAAACTCTGCACTGCATTTAAATTTAAATCTGCCATCGCTATTGGCTAAGAGGTACCCTATGACATTAGCTGGTACATTATGATGTCACAATGTCGTTGTGAGCCTGTGTGTGTGTATTTGTTAGCGGCTCCGCCCTCTCGGTCTGCTAGACAACAGCATTTGTTGCATTATTTAAACAGGAAGTGGGAGCGGAGTAAAACTCTGGTAGAGGGTGGGGGATGACTTGCTCTTTAAGTTATTTTCCCACACATTATGATCTTCAAAACAAATTTCATGGATATTTGAGACTAAATGTTTATCAAATGAGAATAAAACTATAGAAATGATGAAAATCAGAAGCTAAGTATTTGTTGTGCATAAAGAGTCTTAAATAAGAACACGTCTGAGTGGGGTTGACCCGTTCTGACCCATGCCTGCTCCTAAACACACGGATGAAGAACACCAACTACCAGGGAGGAAACACAGTGACCCGTTTACCTGCCAGGGCAGAACTCACGCTGGTCGACCCATTCAACTGCACGGAGATGGAAGGAACGCTGCAGGTCAGGAAACACAGATGGTGACATTCAGTCAGTAAAAACAGCAACAATCAAACAGGCAGGAAGCAAAGAACAAAGGCTGGAAACTGGCTCGGACTTCTGCTCGCGTCACGCGGACAGAAACACGGCTCGTCTGGTTTGATGGGAGGATGGAGAAGGTGTCTTCAGACCGATTCTAAGACTAGTTATTCATGTCTGGGGGATCAACTGCACCCCGGCTTCAACCGGATGTGCAGCGGCCGATCAGCTGATGGAGAAAAACGAGTTTTAGGGGAAAAGCAAGCAGTTGCTGTCGGTGATCGAAACCCGTCAAACTCAGAATAACAAATCTATCGCTGCTATTTTCTTCCTAAATGAGCGTGAGGATCGACTCCCAGAGCCGTTAACTAATGAAACCACGAAATTAGGAGTTATAGGGAAAAAAACTCACTGTGTGGCTGTTCTACCCACTCTGACCGGTGAGAAAGTCACCTATTTAGAGAGCAAGTCACCCCCAAATCAACTGATTTTTCTGATAAACTATATAAATGTGTGTCTAATCGTGCTGCAGACACGTGTGGTTAACAGTTTAGCACTTTAGTGCATTTTAGTTAAAATTTGAATATTCTGCCTAAAACTGTCAGCGTCGTGCCGTTGTCAGGTAAAAACTCTGCACTGCATTTGAATTTAAATCTGCCTTCGCTATTGGCTAAGAGGTACCCTATGACATTAGCTGGTACATTATGATGTCACAATGTCGTTGTGAGCCTGTGTATGTGTGTATTTGTTAGCAGCTCTTGGGTCTGCTAGGCAACAGCATTTGTTGCATTTTTCAAACAGGAAGTGGGAGTTGAGTAATTCTCTGGTAGGGGGTGACTTGCTCTTTAAGATGCTGTATAAAGCATACACAACCATCTAGATTATTTTTTATTTGCCACACTTACATGTTTCAGATTAAAGCTGGGCAATAAATAAAACATTTGGTGTTATCAAAATGTCTGACTGATCGATCATTTTTCCCATGTCAATAAATGTGATGAAAAACATTTTTTAAAGACGTGTGGACGTTGGCAACGTTCATGTCCCTTTAAGACGCTGCACCAGCTCGAGTCTCATAAAAATGTGGCTCAACCTAATACACGTGACAGCCCCGCCTAGTGGACAACTTTTGTTTCTGCACATACCCGTAGTTATCCATTCATCGTTATCGAGGTGAAATCCTCAATATATGGTGATATTGCTTTTAGGCCGCATCGCCCCCGCTCTACTTCAGATTCAGTACTGGACAAAGAAAACCTGAGATGATGATTGGCACAGCTTTCATCTACGCTAGACGCATCGGCAGATTTAAAGCCAGGCGCATTCCCGGGCAGCGCCGTGCTGCTGCTGCAGAGTTCAGACATTTTGAGCATCAGCTGAGGTTATTGACATTTTAGCATGAAAATAAGGTGGAAAACGTCCAGATTGTTCAGAAAAAACAACCCTGACCCTCACCTTCACCACCCAGTTACCCAAAAATTTATATTTAGCATAATTTTTATTTATGAAATTACTCTGTGCAGCATAATTTTAATCTGTTTCAACTAAGGTTAGGGAACTCAAATGTTGAAGTGAATTTTTTCATCCAGCAGACCTGGTGGGATCAGGACTCAGATGGGTCCAAAAGCAACTACTTTCTCACATTTTTTGCAAGATTTGACAATTTTTCTCCTTCATAAATGAAATAATTATTTAAAAACAGCATTTTTTTTATCTACTCTGGTTATGTTGGTGTTATGCTGATTTGTTTACTGATCAGAAATATTTTAAAAACAGAAAGTCGGCAAATCCGGCGTGACGAAGCTTTTTGGGTTTTACAAAACTATTACTTCACAAATCATCAAAAAGTTAATGCAAGAATAAGCAGACATCTACTATAATTAGTACAAAAACGCGTCGTGCAAGGGTGGAACATTAAACATGAATAACATTCAAAAATGTAGAAAATTAGAATTAACTCAGGATTATTAACATTAGGGATGCAAGAAAATATCGATATGGCAATATATCGTGATATTTTTTTCCAGCAATATTATATCGATATTCAAAAGCCGTGTATCGGAAATATCGATATGACAATATATCGTGATTTTTTCCCCTGTAATTATTACATTGAAATTCAAAAGCCGTGTATCTAATTCTTGAAAGAATTTACATGCAAACATTTGTGTATTTTCTTTTCGTTTTGTGCAATTCAATCGCCACCCGCTAGTTGGCAGCAGTGTGCAACGGGTTTTGTTTCCACCATTGAAATGTAAATCCCTCCATCATGGTTCAGATACCTCATGTTAAACATGTTATATATCAGTTTGGACTGTTTATTGAACATTCTTACAATAAATTCTGTAAAAAAAAAATTGCTTGTAACGTCTGACTGAATGTATCGCAATATATCGTGATATATCGTATCGTCTCCCCTGTATGGTGATCGTATCGTATCGCCAGAATTTCAAAAATACACATCCCTGATTAATATGCAGTGTGGAGGAAACTGAGACCCCAGGACTGAGAGTGAGCTACATATCCATTGCACCGCTTAAGCTAGTCGTTTGTCTTTGGGAGCTGCTCTCTGTGCCATTAGGAATGAGAAGAAGGAAGATCAGATGACAAAGATGGAAATGAGGGGAAGTGAGCCAAAACAAACACACCACTGATGTGTTAGAGCTCCGGACCTCCTGTTTGACAGGATGGGTCAGTGAGGAGACAGACAGGAAGGACAGAGAGGGCGGGGGGGCTGGAGGACATCCTTCAGTCCCCCGCTGTGGTTTAATGTGTCACACTCACCTTAAACCATTAACGCTGGTGGAGCTGCCCAGGTGTGGCGCAGGTATGTGACTAGCAGAGGCAAGTGGGGGCCAGGGGCTGCCCCAGGACATCCCCCCCACAGAGAGGGGTCTCCTGGGATACGGCGAGTAAACAGAAGTCGGGTGAGCGGCAGCGACCCACCCCATCCCCTGGAGGCTGGGTCGGTTCAGACTCCCCGAGGAAAAGGAATGGCGTGAGCGGCTGGGAATGGGTCCGGTGCTGCTGTGGCTCAAACACTGCTGGCAGGAGCAGGCAGGGGCTGAGGGGATGGCAGGGGGGCCGGAGGAGGCCAACGGGTAGGGGAGGTTGCACTGTCGCCGCACCTGGCGCCTGAAGCCTGTGGATTTGTTCACCTGGGCCAGAGAGGTGAGATCCACTATGTAATTGTACCCATGCGGGCCCAGGTCGGCCGTGCCCTGGCGGGCCTGGTAGCTGTGCTCTAGAAGGATGGAGGTCCGGGTCTCGTACGGAGTCCAACCTCCTTCATCGTTGACCCATTCCCAGTAGACACCGCTGCCGAGGCCTGAAGACTGGGCGAACAGGGAGCGCCGCACTGACCGGGTCGTCCCTGGAAAGTAAACAACAAACCCTTTAGTGTGCATTTGTGAGTAAAGCATCTTAAACCAACATTACCTGGTCAAGACCCAAGACTGGCACCTTCATCAACAGTAACTGTTCTTTTCATGTATTTCCCACATTATTCACCCATTTTATACTTCAACGTTTGTACTCGAAGATGACTTTACATCTATTTTCATATTTTTAATGTTTTTAAGCCCCTTTCTTGTGTTGTTTTTGTATAAAACACACGTTTCAAAGCCATGTCAGGTAAAAGTCCTGAGTTATTCAACATCCTCCCACATGATGCTCTAACAGCTCAGTCATTTAACTAAGTATTTGCACGGTTTACTCATTCAAACCAACATGATTAAGCTGTCCAGCTCTAGGACGAGTAATGAGAACGATCCTGATGTTTTCACTGAGAATGAAGCCCAGAAACATGACTCGTATTTCCTCCAGCTGATGTAAAGCGAAACCAGCTAGGCCGGTCACTGTGACGATACGAGGAAACGCGTCTATTATTGCGGTTATTAAAGGAAGAGGTCGTGCTCACCTGTGTCCTGCCGGAACTGCTTCAGGCTCGGTATGTCAATGAGGTAGGGCGACAGACTGGGGTCTGACTGTCCGAGGCAGATGCTCGTCGAGCCGGCTCCTCCGCCTCCTCTGGGCCCGCGCCGGGACACACAACGCTCGATGTAGGCGCTGACTTGGCCGCTGTAAGGCCGCCAATAGCCCTGGTCGTCCTGCCATTCCCACACCGCTATCATGGGCTGGGATGGTCCAACGGAACCGGACGGCAAAACCGGCAGCGAGGGCCCGTTTCTGGAGCCGTTCACCCGGGCGCAGGAACCAGACACAATCGCCATGTTATTCGCTAACAACACAACTGGTTAGCTGATTGTGGCTACGACGAAGACGCAGCGACTAGCTAGCTAGGCTCGTTAAAAACTCCATTCCGAAAGTGTGCACGCGCCTACAAGGAATTTCCTAGGCGAGGCTCGAACCCAACACGACCGAGACAAACATTCGGGTTCATGTTGACAAAGCTGTTGCATTCAGAAAGACCAAAGGCGGCCGAGTGGTGACAACATCACCATGGAGCCTTCCAGTCTGGACCGCTGCCTTCATGGCCCGTCGGGAATAGCAGTACTCAGCAGACGTGCCTCGGAAACGCTGGTCTATGGGAAACAGCTTCCTCATTCACCCGATCTCCTTTTACACATTAATTCATTTATTCCAGCAGATTGTGATTTTTCTGCACCAGCTGGATTAAAATTTCGTGAAAAATTAATTTCGTTAAAGATTAATAACTTTATTTTAACCTTTAAAGCAAACTCAAGCAAAACATTTAAAGCAAACTAGTAAACTTGTGCATCTTTGAAAATCCAACCCAAGTTAGATCAAATATATATTTTAATGTTAGCATTTTTGCTTTACTATTTAATTAATTGACGCTTTATTCATACTAGTAAACTTTGAATGATTTGTAAAAACAGAGGCATTTGAATGCAACACAGAAGTTGAAACAAAAGCAAAACAAGCGCCCCCTAGTGACTGGATCCAATACGTTTTTAAAGGGAGATTGGGCAGTTTAGGCTTGCTTTTAGCACCCCCTAGTGTCCGTTTGTAGAAAGAAAGCAAAACCAATCTGTGCGTTTGTCTTTTCAACACCTCAAGCCTAATTTATACTTCAGCTCTGCGATGGAGAGACATACTCGCATTGACAGAGACATTTTGCTTTCAAATTTCTCCATCAGCTAGGGAGTGTTGCAAAACAATTTCCCGCCAAGATAACAGAGAGCGTAGTGCTATTCTGAGGTATCCTGCTACCATTACAGTCACGTAGCCGGTCCACGATGGTATTGTGTTTACATTGTTTTAATGTATTCCAGAGACTTTTTGACACAGACAGATTTGTCCCTCATTGATCTTCACCTCTTTATGCGATCAGTACCTCTAAACCCACGTTTATCATCTTTTCTGTCCACGAATAAAACGCTTGCTGCATATCTTTGCTCTCCTTCAGTCACAGGTGAATAAAAGTTCATATTTTCAGACTTTCTTCGATGCGTTTTTCAACCTGTTCTGTTTTTGCCGCTATCTTTTGACCTTTTGAAGAGGCAAAGACGGTGCTGTTGACCAATAAAAACAAGAAGCAGCCTCCTGACCAATCACAAGCTTGTGCTCTCCGTCTCTTTCAATGGACAGTTAAAATTTGGGGCGTGTCTCCATCAGCCTCTGCAAGCCTGTCAAAGCGCTCCTGCATCGACTCATAGTGGCGTGTCTATCCTGGCTGACACAGACAAAAAAGTATGAATTGCTTAAATCTAACAGCTGAAACGTATCCCCTTCATTACTGTCTACATGGGTTATTAATCACTAAATTAAATTAAACAAATCAGCTGTGTTCATGATCTAAAACATGCAGGAAACGTGCTGGAGCCAGACTGCAGCACCATATAAGCAGACCTGATCAGCAACTGTGAAGCTGCAAGTGGAATATTCTGTCTCCAGAGTGTGAAAAGGGCTGGGTGGCATTTCATTAACCCTGTAAATGGTTGTTCTAGCACACACTGGCTCAAGAAAATGATTTAAAAATATGAAAAGTTGCAAAGTGTCTCCATAAAAAGAAAAAAACCTCAGAGTTGTTGCTGTTTGAATGCTGTTTCCTTAGTTACCAAGGTGCCTTTGAAGTTAGGCTCCGCCCACTTGGTTGCTATGGCTACCATACCTATGACGTTGGTCTCATCCAATTAAGAATTTAACATGGAATATCTTTAAAAACATTTTAAAATGTCCAACAAAAATCCTAGCCTGCTTTCCCTAAACGAGCTAAACACCGTGTGACCCCATTTGCGTTAATTGCTGAAAAACTGTAAGAGATGTATATGATGAAAAACGTACAGAAGGATCCTAAAATCATAATAAAAATAATGATATTCATAATAATACTAACATGTCGGATTAAATAAAGTTGAATCAGATTAAATAAAACCTTCATCATCTGCAAGCTAATGGAGGAAGAAACACGATTTAGTAAAAACAAAATAATAACCCTGAATATTCATCTATATATTATATATATATATGTATGTATGTATGTATGTATGTATGTATGTATGTATATATATATATATATATATATATATATATATATATATATATATATATATATGTATGTATGTATATGTATGTATACGGTATATAATATACCAATATACTTTTATCTGTTTCTAATAGTTTTATCTCTTTAAAAGGATTAGTTCTTTCCTTAAAAACAAGCTGCAATTAAATCTAGAGATGTATTGTGCTCTCTGGTGGAGGATCTCGATACTGCAGGTTGTATTTTTATTTGTTTTTATGACATAATCGCATAAATAAATGTGAAATTATGTTGTAATGACATGATGCAATCAATTATTCCGTTTTTAAATATACAATTCTCCATCCATCCATCCATCCATCCATCCATCCATCCATCCATCCATCCATCCATTGTCTGAACCCGCTTTGTGCCTATCTCCAGCGGTCAATGGGCAATCAGGCGGGGTACACCCTGGACAGAGAGCCAGTCCATCGCAGATATGCATTTCTCATAAATAATTAATTTATTTAAGTCCATACATTAGTAACTTTAGATCCAACCCAGCAAGAGACAAATGAACAAAAACCTGAATTTAAAATCCGTCTTGGAGAAAAATATCAAAGTGGGACACTACGTCCCAAACCTCAACTCAGGAAAACAAACACATGAGACATAAAATGAGCAAACTGGGAGAAAATTAGACCTAAAATGTGTAAATACACAAAATAGCCTCATTTTGTCTACAAGTATCTCCTCAAACAGGCAACAAAACAAGCAGAAGTGGAGAAAAAACATCAGAAGATCCATTAAAAAACTGCACATAAATGGTTTGTTGTGTTCTCTTTTGTTTGGGTGTTCTGCTGCTCTGTCTCAGCTCAGTGGAACATTGATTCATATCCTGTTCAGAAAGCTTAAAAGCCTTCAAAATTTTTCTAATTCAGGTGACGAGTGTGTGAGTAAACATGCTTTAAATAGTCTTTTTGTGTGCGGAAGCATCATCATAAACTATAATTCAGAGTGTCTTTTTCCAGGTGAAGAAGAGGCTCAGATCCAGCCAGTGTTCTTTGTTTCATCGTGGGGGTGCAGGTGGTGGAGCAGGCCATGATTTATTGATGGTGTTACGGATGGGGGGTGGTAGTCCTGCATGTGGACCCCTGTTTCTTCAGCCATCAACAGACAGTTCCACATTTTTACCCGTTTCTAACACAAATACCTAAAAAATATCATATTTAGCTAAATCTTGCAGTGCTTTAATCTCCCTTTTCTGCATTAAAAGCTTAGAGAGTGTGCATTTAGGCCTTTCTCTCTTCTTTCACACTCTTCCTCTTCTTTCTCTCGTCCATCCTAGAAGGATGTCTGCCCCCAACTGGAGATAAACATGTATGACACAAGCAACAGTTCATCTGAGCCTTGCAAACCTCAGGCTGCATGAAAACGCAGCTCAGAGTGTGCAGTATTACAATAAAACAATAGTTCTGTCACTTCAGAGTGAATTCAACCCGTTGTTTTATTCACCAGTCACTGTTTTATAAATAATCCAGCAGTTAAAACGGCTTTCATGGATGTTTTTCTTAAAGAGTAAGTCACCCCCTACCAGAGAATTACTCCACTCCCACTTCCTGTTTGTAAAATGCAACAAATGCTGTTGCCTAGCAGACCGAGAGGGCAGAGCTGCTAACAAATACACACACACACACAGGCTCACAACGACATTGTGACATCATATGGTACCAGCTAATGTTCTAGGGTACCTCTTAGCCAATAGCGATGGCAGATTTAAATTCAAATGCAGTGCAGAGTTTTTATCTGACAACGACACAACACTGACAGTTCTAGGCAGAAAATTAAATTTTAACTAAAATCCACTAAAGTGCAAAACTATTGACCACACGTGTCTGCAGCATGATTAGACACACATCTATAGTTTATCAGAAAAAAAAGTTGATTTGGGAGTGACTTGCTCTTGAAGCTGAGGAGTTATACACTCTTACTGCAGCATTCTGTTTTATATCTTGGTTATCTCAGTAGTATTTAATTGACACAAATCTCTAGCAGGTAACTGAACACTTTGGGATTGGGGTTGCTTGCTGTACCTTTCTTGGAGGTTTCGGAAAAGGGTGAGGCTGTGATGATGGGATGAAGGCAGTTGTAATGAAGGCCATATGTTTGCATCAACAAGACAATAACTATTTTTGTGTTCACGAAAAACTCAGTGACCAAAAATGATCAGAAACACTATAAAAATTATTTTTCTGCGAAGTTGACAGTTGTGTCTACCACTAGGGGGCAGTAGATGATAAGAGATGCAGGTAAGACAGAGATGGAGAAGTGTGGTGAGAACAAAGATGGATGCCTGACATGTGACGCAGGTTCAAATAAAGCTTGGAAAAGGAACTCTTCCCTACTCATGCTACTTCCTGGTACAACAGTCAACCATCGCATTGACCTTTAACCACATTTCTTAGTTGATTATTTAAGTTTTGAAGGTTTTGGTAACACCTTAGTTTAGGGAACACAAATTAACCATTAATTAGCTGCCAATTAATATGCATATTAGTGGACTACTGTTATGTGCCTTGCTCCTTTTTGGCCACAAGATGGCCTCAGTGGCTTATGCCTGCCTGTCTCCCGGTGCTCAGCTGTTTCCACTCAGTGATGATCACTTGGCAGCTGTTAAAAGCTGCTCCCAGCCCCAGTTCAGTGAGAAGGTCCAGGGTAGTGTAGACTGTTTACAGTTTATACTATTCTCTTCTCCTCGTATGCTCATTTGGTAAAAACTCGTTGTGATAATTAGTCTTCGGAACACACTCATTTGGATTGCGGATTTGGAATTGGTAGGATTTGATAATTTGGCTCATAGACTTCGGACCACATTTGACTTAGGCTTTGGATCTCCCCTTTTGTGTAAATAGCAATATTCTTGGTTGTTTAGCCCCATCCCCTTTTGGGTTGGCGTTTTCAGTTTCTCCCTTTTGTATATATTAATACAGTTGTTGTAAATATTTCCTTGTGTAATAAAATCCATACCAAGCATACTGATCTCCAGTGTTTGATCTCTTCAGTTCCATGTTC